GAGTAGCTAATACATTAATGATGGAGATAAGCTCTATTGTGTCATACTTGGAATTCTGATTTGAGCATCACAGAGTTTTCACACTGGATGGAAAATGTGATAGTACTTAACTAGACAGCCAAAAAAATCTGGTATGTGGTACTAACCCCCCCATGAATTTAAACAAGTCACTCATAAGATCACAGTGTCCTGATGTGCTAAATGAGAGATTTTGGGTTAGATAAAATGTCCAAAAGATGCAGGGAATTTTTTTATAGTCTTTTGTGGTTATATGTGCTGTGGAGATGCTTTTATTTCATATTGTGATTTTCTTGAATGTTTTAGGTTAAAATCCTCTACCTCTAACTCCTATTGTCCTTCAAGTTCTCCCCTTTCCCTGAATTGCTTTATCTTCTAAAAAATGGAGGCTAGTTGCTCCTGGATGGAAGATGTACTGTGCATATTTTAATGCCATAGCATGCTGTTTTGAATTCTCAACTGATAGTCATTAAACTGTTGTTAAATAAGCTGATTATATTTAGATGACAATGTGACAAATATAATCTTTAAATACTTAGGAATCAAATGCATATCTTTGTGTCTTACTTGACTGTCATGGAAATTTAAAGACCTGTGGATTGAGTACTAATTGTCCTGGATAGTTTTATGTCAACTTAACACAAGCTAAAGTCATCTAAGAGGAAGGAACCTCAATTAATGCCTCCATGAAATTGGGCTGTATAGGGCATTTTCCTAATTAGTGATTGGTGGGATAGGACCCAACCATTGTGGGTGGCACCATCTCTGGGCTGATGGTCCTTGGTTCTATAAGCAAGCAGGCTGAGCAAATCAGCAAGCAGCACTCCTCTATGGCCTCTGCATCACCTCCTGCCTCCAGGTTCCTGCCCTGTTTGAGTTCCTGTCCTGACTTTCTTCAGTAATGAACAGAGATATGGAAGTGTACGCCAAATAAACTCTTTCCTCTCCAAGTTGCTTTGGTCATAATGTTCCATCACAGCAATAGAAATCCTAACTATGATGCTAATAGACATAGGAATGCAGCAAATTAATAAAACATTTACAACTCAAAACACACTCAGAACCACCACAGGAATAGTTTATAGATCATGATAGTAGTTGATTTATTAAATGCATATTGGCTGAGTCCTAAATATGAGCTAGTTATTTTAGGGGATCCTTGCAGGCTTTTTGGTGGCAGAGAAACAGTCCATGAAGAGACAAGAATGAAACTCCATTCATCCTGACTTTGAAACTTATGCTGTGCCAAAACTTCCAGAGTCTGACCCCAGTTCATTTATTTAAATATTTAGCCATATTTAAGCACAGCACAGTTTTTGAAAAAAAGATTTTCTGATAACAACTAACTCAGTCTTTTGAGTACAACAAAGCTTAAGACATGTTTACATAGAAGTTCTTAACAAAGTACATACAGCTTCTTCCATAAAGTTGGGTCCTGTTGACTTAAAAACAATGCTCAAGATAAAGAGTCTGTGGAGAATGGCCGAGGTAAACAGTGCCTGTGGGAGTCAGGATTGTAAAGTACAAATGACATTACTCATAAGGATGAGTTTTATGGACTAGAAACAATGCTCAAGGTTTTGGGGGCAAGGGAAGTCTGGGAAAAACAAACATCATATTCTGGGGAATATGGATAGAACCTGGCTCAACAGGTTGCAAAGGATTACTAGGTTGTAAACTACATTTCCCCTCAGTGTTCCAGAACAGCCAAACATCTCCTCCCTTTGGAGAGAGAAGCTGCATGTTTAACTTTTCCAGGCTTCAGTGCTTATCTGTATGCACAAGGACCTTTGCCCCTACAAGATATAATCAGAAAGTCAAAGAATGTTAACATTTTTTTTGATTCTCCATAGGCTAAGAATGTGGCAGTGTGATGAGAGAATAATCAAAACCGTAATGAGACAAAACCTAAAAGATTGGTAATTGGTTAAATACAGCTATTTGAACAAGAAAGTAGAGTCTAGAGTGATTTGAATTTCCTATTTGGGCAAATTGGATTTCATAATTATAAACACATGAAGTGTATCAGTTTTGTGGGATAGTGATGGTCTCAGTTCCCCTTTAACCTCCAACGTCTGGCTGTTAAAGGAGCCTTCATCTGGCTCTTGAACTTGAAGAAAGAAAGGGACCTTGACAGTTGATGTAGCCTTAGGACATAGTTGAAGTAGGTCACTTGCCTATATTTATGCTAATTTGCATGGCTCAGTCTCTTCCCACAAACCACAGGCTGGCTTGAGTACCTCCCCCAGGCTGCAGGCTGGAATAACAACGTGAGTGCGACACTTGCTACTCACGGTACATACATAGGTCAACTTCAAGAGTTCCAGGGTGGAGGACTCCCGGTCCCTGCTGCCAAGTGGCTCCTAGCTCAGGATGCCCAAGCCAGCTGATGCAAAGCAGCAGAAACAATGGGAAGATGGCTCAAAGAACCCAGTACATCTAGGAAATTCTGAGAGGTTGGTGATTTGAGTGTGGAGCAGTCTAAGTGACAGGAAATGAAGCTAAAGGAAGATGTTGCGCCCTACTACAAAGATCTTGTTACTGGGCTCTGCAAACCAAAGCTAGGAACTAGGAACAAGTAGCCACTCCCTTGAAGAAATCAGACTGGTCCTGTATAGACATTCATTTGCATACCCATAATTCACAGTGGAAGCAGAGAGGGAAGCAGTGTTGGTTTCTCTCAACCCCTTTCATTCTTAGATTGAATCCTAATGAAAAAAAAGTCGATGAGGAAAACGGGGGTTGCCCAGGTAAATGCTGGGAACAGTAAGTAAAGCTAGTAGGGGAGTCCTAGCTAGCAAGATGGTTCATGAATTTTATGTCAAAGGTGTCAATACATAAAAGTTTGGGGTTGTTTTAATCACTGAGACAGTCTCATCCAGACTGGCCTTGAACTCAGTGTGTTGCCAAGGAAGACCTTTAACTTCTGATCCTCCTGCCTCTACTTTCTAAGTGAATTACAGGTGTACTGCCACCACACCCCGTTTACATAGCGCTGGGTATCAAATACAGGTATTCATGCAAGCACTCGACCAACTCAGCTACATTCCAGCCCTATTTAGAGGTTACAGGCACGTGTGCATACACACACATGCAGAAGGCCACAATCCTTCCCTAATGACTTCCACTAGCCCCATCAGAAATGATAAGTCAGATAATGGATTTGCACTACTTTTATCACTTCTGTTAGACATGTCTCTTCCAAGCCAGCCTGGGCAGCCAGGGTGATTGCCTTTGCACCTTCATCAGCAGGAGTGGCTTCCTGCTTCTGCCTACTTCACTTCCTGGGGCCTTGCTCAAGGCATTCATACATTAGTGCCTGTTTCCTCCTCTGTTAGTGGTGCAAACCTAAGTGCTCTGGGTTGTGTTAGATAATAAAGTGCTTAGGAATGTGCCTAATGCAGTTAGTGCTAAAGGCCAACCAGAACCTACAAACATCTAGGAGAACCACTAGGCTCTCAAAGCAAATGTCTTAGAGGAAGGTGAAAGGAAAGGTATCAGCTCAGGGCCCCAAAGACCAAGTTCTCAGCACAAAGCAGATTGATTTGCCCCAGAGGGACAGAGGACATAAAAGACAAAGACAGGAGATAGAGAACAAGGAAGAAGGGGAAAAGGGACAGGAGTATTTGTCCCAAAGGAACAAAGAACTGCGTCTAGATAGAGAGGAGATAGACGTGGCCCATAGGCAAATGGTGGTTCATAAAGGTAAAGTGGGAACCCCTGTTTTAGGATGAGGTGTTTAATTTTAATTGGGTATATTAACTAGGTGAGCCAAGGGGGACTTCTGATTGCTGGACTGCAATACTTTGCTAGCTGGACCTTGGTAGTGCCAGGAGGAAGAAGTGGCCAAATAAGGGAATAGACCTTGGTGGCTAGCTTTAGGAACATAATCTAACGGTTTTAGCAAGGAAGAGGGAATGGGGGAAGGGCAAGGCCTGCCAGAGCCATGCTTGCCATGCTTCAGCTGGCCAGCGTCTCTTCAGAGGGTATATAATGGAGGGAGGCCATGCCACACACTGCCTATTGCAGAAGCCTCCAGATCTAGTGTCCTTTCTCTCCCTCAACCACACCATGGTCTGGGCTTTTCATTTGTTTATTTTGCTGTTGTTTTGGGGTGAGTTTTGATGATTTTTTTCAGTGCTAGAAATCAAGTCAGCAGATGCCATGTCCCTGTGCTACCACCATCCCTAGCCCTCATCCTGACTCTGTCCTCCCCAGAACTGACCAGTCTATACAGACTGTCACTTCAAACCTCAAGCGCTTTCCTATCACACAAAATGAATGCTATGTTCCTATCATGGCTATCAAGACCTCAGAGTCGCTGGCACTCTCATCTCGAGCTGTTTTCTTTCCGTGTGTGTGTGTGTGTGTGTGTGTGTGTGTGTGTGTGTGTGTGTGTGTGTTTGTCGATGATGCTAGTCTTGCTAAGCATCAAATACACCAAGCCAGCTTCTCTGTGGGCAGCTCTTCCCAGGAAAGTCAAATCTAACTATCCCCCGCCCCCGTCCTCTCTGTAACTCACTCACATGGTCGTCTGTCCTGTCACTCCCTGATGAATATTTTCTGTTTGATGGACCCACCTTCCCTAGTCAAGCCAACCCTCCAGTGCAGGGTTACTCTGTTTCTCCAGCCTCTGCACAGTGCCTGGCACCTACATGCTCCCTAAGTGAGAGAACGACACCTTTAAAGCACCGGATAGAGTCACCGACATTGCATCCTGAAGGGCGGCCAGCAGTCCCTGAAGTGCCAATCCTCAGGTCATATTTTAAATTTTAAATTTAATTGTTTTACCATTTTGCCAACAAGAAAGTTGCTCCATGAATACTTACTACATATTCAAAGCAACTAGATATCTCTAGGCGGAGGCCCTAGTTACATCACCCCATCCTCGCCGGCTCTACCCCGCGGTCCCAGAAAGACTTGTTGACCTCCAGGGTCGTCGCTCCCCTACTTCACTCCTGTTACTCCCATCTCTCATCCCCGCGTGTCTGGGTGACAGCCACGTAGCCCCGCTACCGCCACCGGCGCTGCATTGAGCGCCCTGCCAGCGCCGGCACGGACCCAAGTGCCTGTCGAGAGCGCGATCCTGACAGTCTTTCCAGCCCTTGCCCTGAAGCTCGGCCCTCCTATGCAGTTTCTGGACCTTCCCGGGCTTTAGTCGCAGGTCCCAGAGTCGAGCTCCCCGGAAATAACAACATCCTGGGCCGTGTTTCACCGCAGAAACACAAGCAAGCATCCTTCACAGAACCCGATCGCATTCCTGCTCGCTGCGTGGAAGACGATTCAGTGCCCCCGCGGAGGAGTCTGGGAACTGTAGTTCAGCCCACAAAGCCACTCTGCGCCGGCGTACATCATCATCACTTTTGCCTCCCACTCTCCCTCTGGGAAAAGGAGTCCGAAATCCTAGAGTTGCAGCACCGTGATTTGTGGGAATTAGGGTCCCCGGCTCCAGGAGCAATGCGCACGCGCGATCCCGCTTCAGGCTGCAGGCTCCAGCTCATTGTGTCCTGACTGTTATGTGGCGGCTATGCTCTGTCGCCGCGGTGGTGGCGCCTCGGAGGGCAGCCCCGCGGTGACCAGCAGTGTCCAGAGTGGAGCCGGAGAGCGACGGTCAGGTCTGGGGGAAGGGCGTGCTGGGTTGTGGTCCGTTTTAGAGGACATGGATGCCATGCCCTTAACTTCTCAGCAGCATGTGTACTGAGATTTGACTCCACACAGAGAAAGGACTGGCAGAATGGTCTTGTGGTGGAACTGAGGGGTCCGAACGTGATTGCATATGGAGAAGGGTGGTTGTCTCTAGCGTGTCTGAGGGCAGACTCAGGAAGGCGGTTAGCATCCAATTGATGAGTATATTCCCGGTGAGGCTTCAAGTCCTGTCTGAGGAACTTGAGAATGGGGCAACTGCAGTGCAGCCCCTGCATATGACAAAGCGGTGAAGGGTGACCTGTGTGAATGACCCCCGCCCACGCCCCGCCCCACCCACACATACACACCACGCAAATACACTGCCTTTGACTCCGGGTCACTCAACCGAACCCAAAGGAGAATCCTGAGACCACAAAAGAGTTTGGCCTGCAAGGCTTCTGAGATGAAGATCTGGCTTGCTTAGCTCCTCTCCCGTTCCCCCTCCTTCCCTCTCACCAGGATCAAGCAGTCCCTGGAGGAAAGATGTCTTCAGACTCCCAACCACACCTTTAGGGAAAACGACAGAGGATGGTTTGAGAATTGCCGGCCTGGACAAGCTTTCGGCAAGGGAAAGTCAACGCAGAACGGGAAGGCATGGAGGATCTCACCAAAGGAAAGATGCCAAGAGGAAATGGCACGGGGAGCAAGTCACCTTGCAGATGAGACAAGGAGGAACTCTCTCAAAAGCATTAGGGAACTAGAAGCAAACTAACCAAAGGACTCATTGCTTTGGGGGCACTGAGGATGCCAGGATATGGATGGTCAGGTTCACACCCTGTGACTTTTGACCCAGCCCTCTCATCACAGGTGTGCAGGCGCTTCTAGCCTGAGGGAACCCCACAGGTGCAAAGCTCCTCACCTGCCTCCTCCGTGCTTGGTGGTCCTCAGAGAGCTCAGCAGAGAAGAAGAAATGGCTGTCAGCCGCCTCCCAGCCCTGGTCCAGGTGAGTGGAGGAGTGTTGTGAGTCACCGCCCCCGCTGCTGGGTTCCTGACTTGAAGAATATGAGGTTGTTTGCTCTGACCCCAGCCTCCCCCAAACACCTGACCCCAGTTGCTCCCCTCCACCTCGTATCTCATCCTAGCGGGCTTTGCAGCTTTACATAAGTCATGTAAATGGCACAGGCGGGCAGGAGTCTAACTTAGTCTGAAATGAAAATCTTACACTTTGTATTAGCCAGTAAGATGGGAGTCCAAAATGGTAAAAACAGGGTCTGGCAAAGGAACCAAGAGAAGGAATTCAAACTTTTTCCTGTGAAGATGGAGTTTTGTAGACTCCTCTCCATTCTTTCTTTCTTTTCAAGATACCATGTATCTTTTGTTTCAGAGGACTATTTAATGTCACTAAAAATATTCGAAGAACTCTACTTCTAGAGGCTAGGAGTAAAGCTTTGTGGTAGAGAACTTTGCTGGTTTGTAAAAGGCCCTTGGTTCAGTCTCCAGCAAAACACACACACACACACACACACACACACACACACACACACACACACACACAGCTGAGCATGATGGTTTACACCTGTAATCCTAACACTTGGAAGGCTGCAGGAAGAAGACTGAAAGTTCAGGGCCAGCATGGGTTACATGGAGAGCCTTCTACATAGAGCTCAGTGTAAACGGACATTTCCTGTCCCAACTACCTGTTTCCAAATACCTGGGAGCCTCTTCCCAAATTACTACACAGAGGCTTATATTAATTATAAAGACTCAGCTAATAGCTCAGGCTTGTTACTAACTAGCTTACAACTTAAATTAACCCATTTCTATTAATCTATGTATTGCCATGTGGCTCGTGGCTTTACCTGTCTTCTAGTATGTCTTGCTTTCTGGGCAGCTGGCTGACTGGTGTCTCTCCTGACTCCACCCTCTTTCTCAGCATTCTCAGTTTGGCTTTCCTACCTAACTTCCTGCCCAGCTACTGGCCTGTCAGCTTTTTATCAACCAATGAGAGTAATACATATTCATAGTGTAGAGAAGGATTGTTCCAAAGCAGCTCAGAGCTGAAAAATAGCGTGAGTAGCGCCAGCCTGTTTATAGCCAGATTCATTTGGTAAAATCTATTTTAATTTGAGGCCTTTAACTGTAACATATGGGAGGTGAGAAGCTGGGTGAACAGCCAACAGTTCCAGCTTGCTGACTGCTCATTCCCTTGGTTTTTTTTGTAAGCAAATGAGCTTCATTTAGAGGTTGAAAGTTCAAGATCGGGCGGCCATGTGTAGCAAGGGCTCTCTGCTGCATTGTATGTAGTGAATGGTACCACAAGGCAGGAAAGAAAGGGGTGTGGAGAGTGTCATGTGGTGAGAGGAAACAAGAAAGATTGCCAGAGGTGTTAAATTCCCTTCCTAACAACCTGCTCATAATAGCCACTGCAGTCCAGAGAGACCTGCCCCATCCTCCCGTTCCCACAAGCTGTGCATTGCGCCCTCCAGAGAATGGAACTCAAGTAACTCACTCCCTTCCCCTGTGAGCCCCACCTCTTACAGATTTCCCACTTCCCAACACATTTGCACTGGACACCAGGCACATGTATGTTGGAGGAATGAACCATATCTGAGACACAGCACTTAAACCCTGTTTATGTTGTTTACAGGTTGCCAAGATTTGGCTGCCATCGGGCAGACCTAACTTAGGGATATAAAATGTGCCAGGTCTGTGAACTATGTTAGAAAACTGAGATGAATAACAGTTCTTGATAAATCAGTTCATGGGTTCACTTCAGCCAGTGGTTCTTGGCTCCTCGATGTGTGCCAAGGCTTTGGGTACGGGTAACAAACTTAATTAAGCTATCGTAAGTTAAAGCAGGCATTTTTCTGGCTTCCCCTTGACCCTTCCTCCTCAGTGCACACTAGCTCCCTGTGAAAACCACACTGTGAGCAGTGCTGTTCTCCATGCTCGATTTCAGGCTCCTGAGAGACACTCTTTCTGTCCTTGTTCAGAATTCCAAAGAAGAGATGAGTTATAATCAGAGAAGACATGGGATCATAGCACAGAATGATTATGTCCGTGGTGTGTGTGTGTGTGTGTGTGTGTGTGTGTGTGTGTGTGTGTGTGTGTGTACACTCACATATGTGTTGGGGTGGGTAGAGGAGCAGCTGAAGGAAAGGAAGTCTTACTGAAAACAGTGGTTATGTACCACCCAATGACATGGGTGCATTCTGAGAAGTGCATCGTGAAGCTGTTTCATCTTGATGTGAACACGGAGGGTTTTCCTCCCAACCTAAATGGTGTGGGTCGGCCATTCAATCTGGCCTCCTAGGGTAATCCAGAGATGTGGAAAGCATGAAACACGTGAGGTTACTGCTGGGGAAATACGGCATACTGTTCTACAGTAAAGGTTTCTTGAATGTATCAGAGTGTACTCTAAAATAATGATTTAAAAAGAGTACAACAGGTGTATCAATGTTGTTTGCTATTATGATCACGGGTTAGCTGCTCTACAATACTGTCTGCATTATACTTTTAACTGTTTGTTTGTTTGTTTGTTTCGAGACAGGGTTTCTCTGTGTAGTTTTGGCGCCTGTCCTGGATCTCGCTCTGTAGACCAGGCTGGCCTGGAACTCACAGGTATTCGCCTGGCTCTGCCTCCCGAGTGCTGGGATTAAAGGCGTGCACCACTATCGCCCAGCTACATTATGCTTTTATATTACTGCTGGTGCAATATGTTTATCTAAACAATCATCAACACAAACATGGAAGTCTGTGTTATGCTGACATTACACCAGCTACATTAGGGCTGTGGAGAAGGATGGGAGGTGGTGTGGGCAAGTAAACAAGTTCAGTCTCACTGTTTCTCTACTACTGGCGTCAAAGTGGGGGACAAAACATGTCTTCAGCGCAAAGCTCAGCCTAGGAGATCCCGAAGACATGCCTAGCTTGTCTCTGGACACCAGCTTCCTGCAGGCTAATGGTCCCCATGAGCTTCTGGGACAGCCAGTATGGGCTTTCCTGTGGTATCTCCTGGTCAGTAAGAAAGGGTTCTCTGTTACAGGACTTGGTGACCTTCAAGGATGTGGCTGTGCTCTTCACCCAGGAGGAGTGGAGACAGCTGAGCTCTGCCCAGAGGGCCCTGTACAGGGATGTGATGTCAGAGAACTACAGCAACCTGGTCTCGCTGGGTAAGCTGGACACCACAGCATTTAGCTTCACCTCTGGGGACTTGTTAGGACGCCCCCGGAACTGCCATACAACAGATTGGGTTGAAATTGGGCCTGCTGATGATACTGCCTTCCTTCACTCCTACCACGTGTCTGTCCCCTTGGTGTCCCCAGAGCTCTGCTGAAGTCATACCTGGAGATGTGTCACAATTGAGAGGGATATGAGAACAGACTGTCTGTTTCAAGCCCAAGCCACCACACACACACAAATAGGCTCCCCTTCCTTTCTGATCACCATTTCCAGAAAGTTCTGAGGACCAGGTCTCATCCTTACAATGACTTTTATCTCCATTATGAACAGAGAAGATCAATTTTTTTTTCCTCCTTCAAAAACAGGACTCTCGGGATCCAAACCAGATGTGTTTTTTCACCTGGAAAAGGCAGACAAATGCGTGTCAGAGGATGCTCCAGGAGGCTTTGTTCTTGGTAAGAACCATGCGTGTGGGACATTGGGAGGAGCCCAGTGGGTGGGGTGGGCATGAGGTCTCAGCAGACGTGACAGGCCTGTGCCACATTGTCCCAGCATACATACCCAAACTGGCATGCATCATGGAAGTCTGTGCTTGTTGGAGTCGTTCCTGCCGTCATCTCTCTCCTCTCTCTGGTTCACATTAATTAGTAGTCTGGGGCTGGAGAGGAGGCTCAGTAGTTAAGAGTGCTTGCCCCTCTTCCTGAGGACCTGACTTCAGTTCCCAGTACCCCTGCTGGGCAGCTCACAGTTGCCTGTAACTCCAGCTCCAGGGGATCCAACATCCTCATCTGGCCTCCATAGGCACACTGCACACACATGCATTCACATAAATGAAGATAAATTTTAAAAAATTAGCAGTCCTCTTCCCCCACTCCTGTGTTGGAGTGGCCTCTCTTACATCCAATGTGCAGGGGCCACCCGGGCTCCTCTGGTGAGGAGTCTCCTGGGGCTCTGGAGACAGTTCTGTGCTCACTGAAGCTCCCCTTTTTCTAGTGACACTCTACACATATCCTCACCTCCCTCTTCTTTCTCCAACCACACGGAAGTATATTCAGCCAGCATTGACGTGCCCTGGTGTTCGAGGCTGTGTGCTTGGCTGCAGGTGCCAGAAGGGCCAGGATTGTTGTAGACTTGGCTGTATGGCTCACACCTGGTGCAGTTGTACTTGCTAGTGAGACTGGATGCCTGGGATGGAGAGAGCAGGACAGCTCAGGGGCTGTCACTTGTTCTGAGGAGTCCTCTGGGGGTTGTGACTCCAAGATGGGGATATGTCTTCCTGCTACTTTGAAGTATTCTAGAAAGTTCCCTGCTTTACCTAAGATGCTGTAACATTACACTTTCCTGTAGTGTGTTACAGGCTGTAAATACCTTTTTTTTTTTTTTTTTTTTTGAGACAGAGTCTCTCTCCACATAGCCCTGGCTGGCTTGGAAGTTGCTATGTAGATCAGGCTAACCTTGAACTCACAGAGATCCACCTGTCTCTGCCTCCTGAGTGCTGGGATTAAAGGTGTGTGCCACCACACCTGACCTGTAAAGTATCTTTTAAAACCTCTTATTACTATTTTTTCACTGTGATCCAGTGAAATAGGCAGAGGTTTATATTTTATAGCTGATATCTACCCACCTCAAATGTTTAGAACTCAATGCTTGATAGAATTTAACTATCATAACTCAAATTTGCAGTTATTAAATATTCATTTACCACTGATAGAGCTCAGTGATAGAGCATGCGTGAGGTCTTAGGTCAATGTTTCTCAACCTATAGGTCACCCTTTGGGGGTTGGATGACCTTTCACAGGGGTCACCTAAGACTATCAGAAAACACAGATATTCACATTATGATTCATAACAGTAGCAAAATTACAGTTATGAAGTAGCAACAAAAATCATCTATGGTTGGGGGTCACCACAATATGAGAAACTGTATTAAAGGGTTCCAGCATTAGGAAGGTTGAGAACCTACTGTCCTAGGTTCAATCCCCAGTACAGGGAAATAAAAATCTTTAACTCACCCCTATAGAATATTCTATGGATTTGGTGTTCTTTGACAACCAAATGCCTTAACTCACTAAGCCATCTTGCCAGCCCAAAATCTCCAACATTTTGAGTACTGACGAGCCACCACACCTGACCTCAGATGACAGATTGAGGTCAAAATTCAGACACTGAAAGTATTCTATAAAATTACCTTAGGTTGTATGTATCAAGTATACATAAACATAAGGGGGTTTCATGTTTAATCTTGGACCCCATCCCCAAGATTTCTCCTTATGCTTGTGCAGACATCCCAAAATGAAAAAAAAAAAAAAACAAAAACAAACAAACCAAAAAAAAAACATGAAACACTCTCTTCCCAGGCATTATTTCTGACAAGGACTGCTCAGCTGTATTATATTAAAATTTTTTCACTTTTAAGTCATATACATCCTATTGCCCACCCCTTCTCAGCATCTCTTCCCCCCTCTTATGGGCTCCTTTCTTGTTTTGTAGCCTATACCCACACTCACATAAAAACATTACAAGCTGGGATACAATGAGTAAGAATATGTAATTTTTTCCTTCTCAGTCCAAGTTACCTCGCATAATATAACACTTTCCCTCTCCTTCCATTTTCCTGAGACTTGCGTTTTTCTTTATGGTTTCCTAAAATTCGCTATATATATTACCACATTTTCATCATCATTTCCTGTTGATGGACATCTAGGCTGGTTCCGTTTTCTGACTATTATGAATTAAGCACAAATAAGATGTGGTGCAGTGTAGAGTGCTTTGAGTATCTGTTAAGCATGAGATAGCCGGGTCAGACGGTAGTTGAATTTTTAATTTTTTTTTAAGAAATCTCCATACTGATTTCCATATGGCTGTGCTTTACACTCCCACCAGCAGGAAATAAGGCTTTTTCTCTTTGCCCACATCTCTTTGCCAACACTCACACTTAGACAGTTATTTTTAATCACAGAAAGAAAAATATCATGATAGATGGTTTTGCTTTTTATGTTTTCTGTCCTCGGGCCACAAGCGTACAGAGCTGAGAGTTGAGTGCTACCCAGGATGCTCTGGGGTAGGCATTTTTGCTTGCTGACACACTTAATCTTTAATATCCTGCAAATCAAGAGTGTACTCTGCAGCAGACCCCACCCAGTGGAGATAACGGATTAGGACTGATTGAATGCTGCTCTTGGGGAGGGGGGGTTAGTATAAACCCACCTGGCTCCAAAGCTCTTGCATTTTCTTCTTTTCTCCTTTTAATTCCTTTTGATCGTGCAGAATCCCAAGGGAAACCACCAGACCTTCTCTCAAGTAGCTGCTGGTCATTTTTATACTTCCTTCCTCATTTATTAATCATCTGTTATGTCTCGGTGTCTCCTACCCTTTACCTTTCCCTTCTCATTTTTGATCTATGAATGTGTTCATTTATAACCATATAATTTTATTTCCTTTTACTTTACTTGTATATGCATGCATGTGTGCGTGTGCGCGCGCATGTGTGCGCGCGCGTGTGTGCGCGCGTATGCGTGTGTGTGTGTGTGTGTGTGTGTGTGTGTGTGTGTGTGTGTGTGCCTACAGAGACAGAAGCCAGAGGATGTTGAGCATCATCCTCTGTCTTATTATTCTCTCTCACTGAACCTGGAGCTGGCTATCTTTCAGCTAGACTGGTGGCCAGCAAGCCCCAGTGATTTTCCTGTCTCTGTCACCCTCCTCTCCAGTGCTGGGGTTGCAGCTGCTGGGGGCCACACTCGGCCTTTACCTGATGCTAGGGATCCAAACTCAGGTTCTCTGCGCCTGCAGCACATGCTCTTTCCTATTAAGCCACCATCCCCGCCCCGCTTATCACTTTAATGTTGCGTTATGTCCTCTTATTCTCTGTCTTCATTGCACTGTTTTCTCTTACATTTATTGGCAAAGTTTTTAGAGCTGATCTATTGGCCTTCCATGTTGCAATTTTATTTTTGCACTTAGCATTATAATTTCTTTTTGGGCCTTAAAATACATTTATTTTGAATATTGTACACCGGCTATAAAAATAACATATAAATTTTGAACAGCCCTAAGGAGTTTAAACAATGATAAAGATGCAATACTCATATCCTACCACCCAGTTTAAGAATGAGATCTAACCTCATCTTTGAAGTCCAGTGTGATTCCTCACCACATCTTCCTCCTGGTACACTAGAAAACCACTAGCTTGGTTTTAAATGTTGTTGCTGCTGCTGGTGGTGGATTTTTCATGGCTATCCTGGAACTTGCTTTGCAGAGCAGAGTGGCCTCGAATTCAGGGTGATGTTTACCACCATGTCTGACTTTGTTTTATTATTTGGGGGGGGGGGTGCATGTGAGTGCAGGGCTCTCAGAGACCAAAAGAGGGCATCAGATTCTCCTGTAGCTGGAGTTATAGGCAGTTGTGAGTCGAGTTCCCCACCACCACCACCCACCACCACCACGACCAGTACTGGAAAGAGAACTCAGGTCCCCAGGCTGCTGAGCTTTCTCTTCAGCCCTGATAGCTTTGTTTTGTGCCAGTATTTCCTGGACTTCTTTTCCGAGTCATATTTTCTTGCTGTGGTGAAATACCTGAGAGAAATGACTCAGAATGAAGGTTTATTCTGGCTCAGTTTCAGAGTTTGTAGTCCATGGTGAGCTGGCTCCATTGATTTTGGTGGCCTGGAAGCTAAGGGACAAAACAGGAAGGGGTCAGGAACAAGACATACTCACAGGAACATGCCTCCTCCAACCAAACCCTGCCTCCTAGAAGCTCATTCTACTAGGAACTAAAAATGAGTGAGGTTAAGACTTGGGGGTGGCTTAGTGTGTCAATGCCTGCTGCACAAACAGCAGGACCTGACTTCAGATCCCCACCTCTTGGGTGAAAGCTGTACATGGCATCATACATCTGTAACCCTAGCATTGGAGGGCAGAACCGGGAGGCTCCTAGGGCCACTGCCCAGCCAGTCTAGTGAAACAGCAAACTCATGAGACCCCATCTCAAAAAAAAAAAAAAAAAAAAAAGATAGAGAGTGACTGAGGAAGCCACCCAGAGTTAACCTCTGACCTCCACAAGTGTTCTCAACTAACATCCTGGTTGGATCCCTGAATTTTGCCTGTGAGATGACATCGAGCTTTTCATTCCCAATCTTGAGTTGTTTCCCAAGAACTGCTACTGTTCTCTACCGTTTTTGGGGGGAGGGGGTAAAGGTGAATCTTAACTTTCTTTGAATAATGCATAGTATTGAGACATAACTTCTGATATTTAAAATCACCTTTACCTACTGAGCCATCTCCATGGTCCTATCCTAGATTTTTTGAAGTAAACTGATTTTGAAGTAATATGTAATACAGAAAAAAGTACACATATCTAATAAATTATAACAGCATAAACACATCTGTATAATCAACATTCACATAAAGAAAAATTACCGTCACCCCTGTAACCACTGCCCCCCAGTACCTTCTCTTT